AGTATTATTCAAAGGATGAGCGGGCAAACGGGCAGATAGAAGACAGTCGGATATTTAAAAAAAAAACAAATCGGTATCAGGAGACTCCAAAATTTTTTTCTCGAAATCTATTTTCCGCATCATTACATCACTGTTTTCTTTTTTTGTATTGTCCGTGAACGAGGAAATAAAAATAGACTTTCGAAAAATGTTAATGAATTAATTTCTAACCTTTTCTGTGCTCATCAGCTATATTGATTTCTCAAAAAAAATACACTACTTACTTCATTGCCGCAGCTCCATTCTCAGTTTCGGGTTGATTCAAAGAGGATTCTGCAATTAGATAAATCAGTTTACACATACAACTTTAATGAGTGACTCATTGAAAACAGTTACATATAAAAAATGGAAACAGAATCATTATTATTGCCGTGACTGTTCGAACTGTTTATCCAAACTGGTATAAAATCTCGAAGAAAAAGAGAATTTGGTGCACTGTCGTGAATAATTTCGGAGTTCCTCAGGGATGTGTTTTATTGCACATACAAACATCTCCGTTCGTGACATGTAAGAATAATTCAATTTTTCACAGATTATTGCATAATTTGATTGACGATTGATAGTTAGTGATTTCGAGTGTATCAACTGCTAAGGTCATTAGTTCCGTAAGTGTACTGCATGTTTTATCGCGGGAGGTGGAGGTGATCTTCCACCGCTGGATGGCAAGATTCCATGCCCACCTACCCGTCAGCTAGCGGGATTTTCCCCAACCAGGTATCTCCTACCAGGGGGCACCGCCCCAGCATTCGCCTAGTGTTGGTCGGAAAAAACACTTAAACTACCGAACAGCCAGCAGCTAGAAGTCTCCACCACACAGTGACTGAATTCGACCAAGCCATTGAGCTGCCGAAGATCAATAGAATATAAGGAGAGTATGCGTAGGTTATAAACAGATCCAAACGTAATAGAAAGAAATTTTGGATTTTCGAAATATTAACAAAAAAAAGAATAAAACTATTAGTATCATTAATGAAAAAGCAGAAAATCGGCCGTATGCATTTGGAGACAAATTGATGCCCGGCCTCAGAAGTAACAACGATCTAAAGATTACAATTTTATAGCATACTTGCGATGGGTAGGGAAAGTTATCTACGCGGCTGGAAACGCATAGAAAACTGCGTTTCGAGAATTCTTTGACGTCGAACCCTTAAATCGTACTTGCGTACACATTATTAATAAACCTATCTTTGTATACTACGAGTAATACGTGATTCAAATAAGCCGATGTAATAATAGTATATTAAGCAACTTGTTTACAATGTGATGCTTTAGTGCATACGTACATGTGTTGTTTTCAACCGTACTCGTTTTCGAGCGACGTTAGTAACGAGATTTGAAATTTGTACGAATTCAATAAAGCAATATTGTAAACGAGTTGGATAGGCAATTTTTGTAATGAAAGCATTATAAATTTATAAAATTACAAAACTTGGTTGGTATTGAAAAAATATTTTTATTTTTTTTCTGATAGTTTATTGCTTGTTATTACCTTCGAAACGGAGCTCGATATACACTTAATAATTTGTCGTGATCGTGGTTACAGAGGAAATACGAAAACAGTTGAATGTTGCTCCTTATGAAGGGAATTATGAGAAGGAATTATGGGAGAGATATGAAAAGACCAACCAAGTCATGTTAACAACTAGTTAATTGGTAAATAAGTAAATGTGAATAATTAAAATTAGGTATAAAATAAAATAATGTATGCACCACGCGTGTTAACGGGTTCTAATGATCTCGGGCGACAAAATCCCTCGGGCCAAAGGGCATTTTGTCACCGCTCAATAATTAGAATCCTTATGAGGCCCTTGGTGTATAAATAACTATTCTTTTCATTCTTGTTTCTGTTTAACATGCAAATTTCCTTCTATATTCCTCAGAGTTTGAAGTGATATCAAAATATCTGTGTTCCTGTCAGGCACATTGATTGATTTCTCAGAGCTTGTCAACTTCTATGGCCATTAGTCCGGTTAGTGAAGCTAATGTTTGTGTGCCTGAATTTGTTTCAACCTCGCTGGTCGTCGAGATCTGGGGCCGACCCACTCTCCGGCTAGCGGTTTTCCTCCTTCAGGTACCTCCCCACAGCAAAGCACCGTCCCCGGTGGGTCAAGATCTTCACTCCCTCCTGCTCTCCCGTGTACTGCATGTAAGTGTGTGTGTGTGTGTGTGTGTGTGTGTGTGTGTGTGTGTGTGTGTGATGTACGCTTCCGCGGCCAAAGTCATGATCTGGGCTGTCCCAGTGACGCCGCGTCGACTGCAGAGGTGCCGATGTTTCGACCTACATATCTTTTTTAGGGGCTGTTGGCACTACAGAAGGCCCTTGAAAAAACACCAAGATATGTCGGTCGAAACGTGGGCACCTCTGCCGTCGACGCGGCGTCACCCGGATCAACTGTGTGTGTGTGTGTTTATAAGACAGGGGGGAGGGTAGAGCACGGGGCAATGACGAGGAAGGAAACACTGCGAGCGATTCGTGGCCGTTTGAGAAGGGATTGCTCCGGCATTTGCCTGGTATTGATCGGAGAAACCACGCTGAACTACCGATCAGAGCAGACGGTCACTAGTATTCTTATTCAGACAGCGACTGAATTCGATCCAGTTATGCAGCTAGTGTCGACAGTCCTGCCACCGTCGGAACTCCAACCTAGGACCTCCCGATCAGAGACACTGTAGTGACATCAGTTTGTGCCCTGAGCCATCCCTCCCGATTCATACAAAAAGTAAATGAGTGTATCGTAGCCAGAGTATTTGTGAAAGAAATGTAATGTATATTACCCAGTGTGGTAACCATGAATTAATAAAATTCTTTCTAAGCAAATAATTCTTCTTTTAATTGGTCGCTAATGACCAAGAAGTGAAAAAGCTACCAAAGATAAATAAAATAAAAAAAAATTCTTTAAAATATTGTAGTTTAACGGAATTATTCAATTGATAGTTTCAAAAATAAATCTATTAGTTGGATAAACTGATTCGAGAGAGGAGTCGCCTAGCCCGTGCACTGACCGTGGGATCGCTTCGAGGAGGAGCTCCCGAAGGGCTGGTACCCGGCGGCGTCGTCAGCGGCAGACGACTGCGTGCGTGACGACCTCCTAGCGGCCGACGAAGATTTCCTGTTTACATCACACGCTTTTCGCTCGCTCAGACAAAGTAGCGTATATTTTAAATACTAATGTCCATGTTTTTTTTTTACTTTATCGTATTATACACACGTAGTATAAACACGGAATTTTTTTTTGTATTTCGGCAGAAAAAATCGTATTGTAGGTGCCTTATTTGTATTGTAGGTCCATTGTTGTAGATACTTCTTGTTTCTTTATTAAATAAATTAGTTTCTCTAACATGTTGTGTTTAGTGAGTCCATAATACCGAAAAATTGGTTTACGGCAAAAACGCACGTCCGTCCACCTCTCTGTGAACAATACTAGTGACTAAATTAAGCTGAATTTTCTCTAAAATTGATATTCCGCGATCGAAATAGTTGTTTTTGCGGCTTTGAATTTAAAAGAGACATTTTAATTTTTGGGAGAATTGCACATGAAATATTAAGGACACTTTCAATGAGGGTTAATTTCTTTCGGGTAGAACATAGTAGTCTCATAAAAAAGAAACAGGACCTAGTTTCGTTGAATATTATGAATTTTTGAAAATTGCAAAAAAATATTTTTTCTTGGCATCTTACTACAACAACAATATTAAAGAAATAAAAATGTAACTGAAGTCATCTACTTTTTTTTCAAAATACGAGTCGTGTTATTTTGTGTGAAATAAAAGCGTTTGTAAAAACATTTCTTATCATAAAAATGGCTTCAAACGTTTTCAAAATATTTATTTAAGTGTGAAGTATGCTTATAAAATGGGACAAATCCCATTTGCATTGAACTCTGAATTTTCGAAAATTATAAAAGTTACAAATAATGCGAGAAAGGATATTCTATTCGAGCACCATTCGCTTTTATTTTCATTAAATTAGTTCAATGTTCTCTGGTGGTGCTACAGAATGGCACAGACATTCCCCTATTAGTTTTCTATTTCCTTTGGTTTCAGCTAGCTATTCGGACTTGCCACATACTCTTGCTAGCTGCCATCTATCGCCGCCCAAAGTACTTTTTTTTCAAATTTTCTTGTTTTCGGTTCCAAATAGTAGAACAGAAACATTATTTTAAAAATATTAAAGTACAATAAAACCTCATCCTAAATGACAATTTTCTTTGAAAAATTTGGAGCCGTTTTTAAGAAAATGTCGTTTAAATTAAGTTTTTGAAAAACTTCATTTTGAGCCATTTGAAGCACATTAACTAACAAATAAAATGGTGTTTACAAGTTGTTGGAAATGTTAATATCAGTGGTGAGAGAGATCTTCAAAAAATAAATTTGTATAATTTAAAAAACAAAACAATATTACAATGTCATATTAAAGATGTTATATTAAAAAATGCTATTAGCATCCGTTCAAAAAGTTTGAAGAAAAAATTCGGAACCATTTATGAGAAAATAGAGTTTGAGCGTTTCTGAAGATGCGGAATTTTAAGCCAGTTTTCACAAAACTGTATTTAACATTATTTTAAGTACTTGTACTCATAAATACTTTCACGTGAACAAATTACCGCTAATGTAAATATAAACGACGTGAGAGACATGTTAAAAAACTTCATTTTTGTAGATTTTGAAAAAAAAACGAAAAAAAATAGAGCAACATGGCGTTTATGTCATAACATGACTACTGTACATTTAGCACTATCCATACACAAAGTTAACAGAAAAATTTCGGAGCCGGGTTTGAGATATTTTCCTTGTTGCACGCAATATTGAACTACCTTACCTTTCTGCTAATAATTATTACAATGGCATTTTGTAGTTATATGTACACCTGTTTTTTTAAATGTTGTTAAAATGTTTTTTGTTGTAAATATTTCTGATTCATACATAAAAACGTCTTCTTTCATTAAGAAAGTATTACTTACTGTCCTTGTGAACTTTTCCTTTTCGAAGATGCATTTGATTGTATAGAAGGTCGCTCCTCTGCAACATGTAATGAAGTGTCAAAATTCTTTTCATTCATTCTTTTCTCATAATGCAAATATACTCGTTATAACGTCGAACAAGAACGTTTATCTACAGAGTGCTATGTAAATACTCGTACTAAAGAGAGCACAATTAGATGATTGAGATTCAATTTTATGATATCAGCGTCTCTTTAATAGCACAGAGACAATATATTATTTTTTATGTCTTTAATAACAGTTGAAGATCTGTGCTATTTATTTTAAAAATATATTATTTTCATAAAGGCAAAGCTTCACTCATTGAAGCAAGTAGCTAATCACCAACCATCATTTCACATATAGGGATTCTTAAATCTATGTTAAAATCTATTTACAAACACAATCCATAGTGTCTTGTATATTACAATACAATGTCGATAAGCACATTTACATAGTGATACAAGTAGTTAGTTCTGTTTAACCTTCTTAACTGATTTTGGTTATTCAGAAGTTGAATGGCTTCTACACCGACATGTTCGTGCAGTTGCTTTTCATGTTTATTAGCTGATCTTCTTATTTCACCTGAAACGTAAGGGATCCCAAAATCACGATGTACGTCACTATTTTTAATCCTCCACGGCGCATTTACCATGCTTCATAGTATTTCATTTTGAAAGGTTTGGTTATAAAAATTTGCAGAAGTCTGTCTGCCTGTCCGTGCACGACGCTAGCATATAAACCGTTCCCCCAATTTTCCCCAAAACTGATAGTTCCCAATCGTTCTAGCTGATGTCACGGCCCCTGGAATTTGAAACCGATATTTTAATTTTGGGGGATACTGTACATGAATTAATAAAATTAACGCTAATGTGCCGTCAATTGTTCATTACGTTGTTTGGTTGTGTCATGACCTTCAAGACAGTCTTGTTCTATCACGAGCGAGCGTGATTGTGAGTTTGTAGATAGCGAAGTAAAGACAAAGAGATTTTTTTAGTTCGAAGATCGAGTGTGTTAAAAGCAAAGATTAGCGATGTTGCAACGAGATGTACAGCAATCATTTGAAAGAGGTGTCTCTTTCAAAAAACAATGCTAATCTTGCAAGAATAGATAGATAGAATCGGTGGTCAATCAATGCAGGTATTACTATCTCGAAACCTAAATCAGAATTTATAGTGTTCACGAGAAGACGAAACGACGAAAATGAAGAAGTGATTCCAAAACTGGGTGATCACCAACCGAACAGGACCTATATGTGCAAAATTCTAGACATATTATTAGATTCGAAACATTCATGGAAAGAGGATATGACGGCTCTCAACATTAAATCTAAAAACCGACTTAATATGGTCCAAAAGATATTTCCCATTAAATGGGGAACACAACTTGAATTCTTGATCAACCTATATAAAGCTCTGATTCAATCTAAACTAGATTGTGGGGGCAGCCTACAGCTTAGCTTCAAAAAACCATTTAAGCCTTGGTGCCTTTAGAAACAGCCCATGTAACAGCCTACATTAAGAAGCAAGACAACTACCATTGGAATTAGGAAGAAACGTTCAGTGCATAACCTACACCTACTCCACATTTAGCATTCCCTCCAACCCCTCTAATTCAATTATATTTAACAACCTTTAGTCTAGCTTATATGAATCCAGCTCACAGCTCTCATTACCTCGCAGAGAGAGACTCCTTACACTTCTAGAAAAATTGAATATCGCCACTGTGTATTCCCAGACGCAATCATCCCTTCCCATCCCATCCCATCCTGGCAGAACATTAATATTACAACCAATACCGATCTCACAAAAACCCCAATAAACATCACTTAAACTATTGATAGGATAAGGAATGAATAGCGACTACTCCAAGAATATAACAACTTTTACCAATTCTACACAGACAGGTCTAGAAGTGATGGAATTGCAGCCGGTACTATATTCCAGTCATCAATTAATAAAATGGACTCTCACCGCCTTCCGTATTACTTCTTCATGACTACCTGCGAAGCGTGGGCAGTCCTCCAAGACAGCTTCATACTCGGCTGTAAGACTCCAAAAGATACTCCCATTACATGTTTTTCAGACTCATTATCAACTCGAAAAGCCATGGAGAACAGATTCACTTCCAATCCAATTAGTCGAAACATTCAGGAGATTCTAGAAAAAACAAATATAGATAATATGGGGAAATAATACAGATCCCTTCGCAAATCATTGGCAGTGAGAAAGCTGATGCAGCCGCTAAACTGGCCACATCAATTATCTGCGCCGACAACCAAATTCAAGGCACTTCCCAAGACTTTAAAAAGTTTGTAAAAGACTCCCGCCTTGGTTATTGGAACTCAAACTATAAGTTGAATGTTACCAAACTCCATTTAGTCAGACAATTCATCCTTGACCCAACTCTCCCCAGAAAACATTTTAAGAGAACAGAACATGTTGTAATCACAAGACTAAGGATAGATCAATTCAATCTCGATTTCTGCCATTTAAGAGATCTGATCCACAACCCTGGCCAAAGGGTGGTGCAGTAGTCTCCACCTCTCAACTTGGTCTTGAATACCCTCCTACTGATAATATAAGAAAACTTCTGAAAATGGAAGGAACCCTAATTTACTCTGTTCCGCAGACGGGTGTGCCAAAATAGTAAAATTCTTACTAAACTGTACTTCAAAACTGTACAGCCTTATTTAGTTGAATAATGTATTAAAACTTTAGTTAGATTAAACCTTACATCTTGAGAAAACGTTACTAACTTTAACATTTATGTTCTTATTATAATTACAACAATTATGTTTGTATATATATATATATACAAAAATGACTATGTATAAATATAATATTTGTATATATATATATATATATATATATATATATATATATATAT